CCCTCTGATATGGTAAGGTGAAATGAAATACCCCATTATTTCAGTGCATTAATATTTTCTCACACCCCCGTCCACAGAACTTACTTCATGGTCCTGGGTGTGAAGTGTTCAGAGGAACATGTTAATAAATTTAAGATTTAATTTGAAAATATAAGATCTGAGTCGTCTCAGGTTCGTACATCAACGACAGTTTCACTGGCTCTCATCTGCTGCTGTCGTCGATGGTTCCTGTCGATGGTTCCTACATTAACTCCATCTCAACAACCGCTGTCCTCACTGTGTTTCACTTCCCCGAAGCTTTAAAAGTATTTGCTCCGCAACAAAGAGGCAAATCGTCAAAACGGGAACGCGAAGAATCCAATTACTGCGCGTCAGCCATAATATCTGCTGTAAACATTTAGAGCGAACATCATTAACGCGCTCCAAAATAACAACAAACAGATGGATTCTAATTTCAAGCTCAACTTTGCCGCCTTTCTGTTCCGAGCACGGAGAAATCGGCAGATGAACTTCATCCTCGGGGCGACGTCTCTACACCAAAATAATCACGGTCTAATTGGCTCGCTTAACTTCACAACAATTACAATGTAAACCAAACAAGGCATCCGTGTAGACTTTTTCCCTTTCCCCTTTGTTGTGCTTGGGTGGAATCATTTTCCGTTGCCTGCTTAGGAAAAACAACAGCTCCTAATTACGGTATATTCTTCGACTGAGTTCTGGCTGAGGAGTTAATAATACATCTGGTCTGTTACACGTGCTGGAGTCGACTTCCCCGTCTCACAGCTCTTTATTCATCGTTTGAAAATTGTGAGACGAGACTTTGTGTTAACTGCACCGACAGTGAGTTCAGACCTGAGCTGTGGAGATATGATCATTATTTTAACACCTGGTAAAAAAAAAAAAAACCTGTGAAAGAGGAGACGATCTGAGGATCACTGTCTACCTCTGTTTGATAAACGCAAAATTAACTGAAGTAAAGGTCGTAGACAAGGGGTCACCAACTATATTTGTGAGAGGGACAGAATTTCTTTTCTGGACAGACACCACTTGGGGGCCGGACACTCAAATAACACATTAACACATTAACATTTTTGAGATTGAGACTTGCAGGCATTTGCAAGATTTGATATCAAGGAGGAAAAAAAAAAGTTTTAGAAAACAATAGTTTTCTTAAAGTTCTTCCTTGGCCAGCAGGAGGAGCTGGAGTTTCCAACTCTGTACAGCTTTATTAGGGATTTAAAAAAAAAAAAGGAGAAAAAAACTGCAGCGATTCTCTGGTAACTACAAGTGAGTAATAATAAATGAATGTAAATAAGAATGACTAGTTTAAAAGCTGATCAACAACAACAGTGGGTCGCAGCCCAGATGTAGCCCACTCCACCTAACAGCACTTCACACACAGACAAAAGGATGCCTGTGGGAAGGCGGCCAAGACTAAGAAAAGATAAAAACAAAAGCAACAACAACTCGGCCTCTTGTGGTTCCATTTCCTACTACGTCTAATTAGATACAACGTTTTAAAATTATTCCATTTCATCCTGGCCGGCAGCAGAAAAAAAAAGTAAAAAAAAAAAAAAGTTTGTCTTTACATTAAAAGTTGAAAAACAGGAAGAAGAAAAAAAAAAACATAGAAGTTTGAAAAGAAATGTTTAATGAGAAAAGGAACAGAGAGAGAGGATGTTGGAGTGCATTTAGAACATGTACCTTCATCTCTGAGTCAGGGCTGATTGAATTTGTTAGCAAAGCCGGCACGTCAGCGATGAGATTTTAATTGATACACATAAATAATTCCATGTGTACGGCCGCACTAGAGATTTGCTGTTTATTTGACGACTGAAATTAGTCATTATCAGGATACGTGTTGATGTTCGAGACTTTATTTATTAATATAACTCCCAGCTTAATATCCTCTGATCTGTTCCCAATTAATTATGTCAAAATCCACATCAAACTAGAACTAAGACGCATATGGGGCCGCGCCTCGCTTTCATTTCCCCACTAGCCGAGCGCTGTGACAATAACAACAAATGAGAGCGAGATGTGGAGAAGAAAAAAAAACATTCTTTGTTCCTCAAATGGAGATAACGAGGGCTGTCTTTTACTCTTATGTGGAGTTTGTTATATATGTTCAGCTGATGAAAGTCTGAACTCATTCTACGTGGGTTTGGTTTGTTCCAGTTTGTTCCAAACCCTCGGTTCTAGACTGGCCCGTCTTCAGGTTCCACCAACACCCGTGATGACGAGTCGTGACCCAAATCAAAGAGAATTTTTTCAACTTCTCAGATTAATTAAATGAAATATCACAGTATACTTCGAGTACCATCGAGTACAAACACTTCTGTGATGTCATCAAGTTTCCCAGTCGTCTTCCAGTCAACTCTACAGGTTGAACTTTGACGACCTCTGTGGAAGACAACTGACATTCTACACAGTCAGTGGTACCTGTGTTAGCAGTTAGCATGTGTTTATAAAGCCTGTGCGTCTGTGGTTGAACTCAGATTATGGGGTATTATCGCCACCTACTGTTAAAAAGTGTGACTAGACAACACTGATTTTTTTTCTTGGCAAAGACACACGTGACCCACCGTAAAAGATTTTTCAACTACCACCTTTTTTTTTTAACACTTTTGGGTCGCGACCCAAAGGTTGAGAACCCCTATTCTAAACTTCAGGAATCCTAATGCGTCTCTGACTTACCTGAGAGCTGCTCAAACTCTGGATCGTCTGGACTGGTGTTGGCAGCCAGGTCTTGCAAAAAATGCTTGTAGCTGCAGAGAAACAGAAAAAAAAATGTATTTACTAACTTCCTGCTTTGGTTGTTAGATGTTACAAAGACGTCAAATTCTGAAGGACGTACTGCTATCATTACCTCAATTAATTCATAATTTGAGAAGAAATATGTACATTTTACATATATATATGTGTGTGTGTGTATGCATATATATTAGAGTTCAGGTTAGAATCTTACAACACTGACTCGCAACCACTGTGCTAATTTCACTTAATTGTGCTGAAAACTATTATTTTCTAATTTGTCTTTGCTCGTCAAAGCATGAAAGGCAGAACAATTACATCCTCTTCTGCTAGGGGGCAGCAGATGAAAACTAACAAAAAAGAAGAAGATAACCAGAGCTGTTGAAGAAGATCTTTGTGTCTTTCTTCAATTCCTGCCAGTATATCAGCGTCGTCTTCAACTAAACAGGCTGAGGTCAATGATGAGGTCATTTAAACTTGAAGATTTTTAGATTTCACTTCACGTTTTGTTTGGTGCTGTGCCGTGGGGTTTTCCTGATGATACATATATGCTGTGGCTCAAAAGAAAAGGTTGGGAAACACTGCTTTAACAACCCGTACTGACAAATTATTAAAAAAAAAAAAAAATCTCTCTGTTGTCTAAAGGAGTAAGTCACTGCCTCAGTTTCTGTCTTCATCTAAAGTAACAGCAGTGAAGCATCAGCTTGCCCCTAAAAATCTTTATTCTTCTTTACTAAAGGATGATGTTACCTTGAAATGCATTGACAATCACCATTGATTTCCAGTGTCTGTCTCTGTCTGTGCAGTCTGGCCTTGTTAGAGACACAGCGGTGCCAATGAGAGTGGCCATTAGTGCTGCCAGCAGCCTCCACACCACTCAGAGCGCCCCGTTTGGTGGCAGCAACGGGACGAGACATGTGTCGCGGTGACAACGATGTAGTGGGACGGTGTTTGTGTGTACAGTGTGGGGGAGAACGACGACAACAACGACAACGACAACGACAACAACACAACCGCACAGAAACGGCATGTTGGATTAAATTTTGATGACACTTTGTTAAAGAGTTGTGCAGCAGAGAACAGCAGTCGAGTTTCTACATGATGTTGAAGATCACTGTTATCTCTGCACTGACGACGGAACATCAGGTCTGCTCCGTTTCCTCCTGATATAAAGATGCTTTTTAATCTAGTGAGTATTTGTTACCAACATCATCCAACAGACTTCTAAGAAGAATGTTCGGGGTGGGGTGGGGGGGTATTTTCAGGGGGAGGGGGTCATGGGTTTGACCAGAGAGATGCTTCTCACAACTAGGCAGTCCAGTGGTGGGAGTAGGTGGCAACGACTGTGTGTGTGTGTGTGGGGGGGGACAGCCCCACCTACAGGTGCTGAGCTACTGCAAAGTTATTTTATTTTAATGAAAGATTTTGTTACTTTTTCACCAAACAGAGACATCTGCGCTAATATATATATATATATTTTAAAAGATAACTACAAACTTGTAGGAACAACAGTGTTTTAACTTTGATGTGTCAACATAAGGGGCGGGGGTTCAACAATAGCCCAATACACAAAAAGTAGGTCCTGCAGGAAAAAAAAAAATCACCACAGTGGAACGTTCTAGACCCAGACGTAGCTGCATCACATCTTAATGTTGGAACATTAAACCCAGAGTCGTGACTTTGAAGGAACCAGAAGAATATTTGAAGTACATGTACCTGGAGACAGTGACGTCCACGAGGGTAAAAAAAAAAGACCTGGCTAGAAAAAGCTGTTTCTCTGGTCTAGTATTAAAACATAGCACCATTGAAAACAAAAAGATACAAAAAAACAATACTTGTAATACATTTGTTCTATTTACAATAATAGTGAAATGAAGTACTTTTGCTCCTGTGCAGTACAGCCCATTTACCAGAGAAGGCCGCGGACACACGGAGTACAAAAGACTTTGCTTTCATTTTTTAAACTCTGGCTTCATTATCTCAGATACTAGCGTGCTTCTACCCCGTCTGTGGTAAACTCCTGAATTAATGTTGTTTAAATATAGCTTTGTTTTTGCTTCCGCAGCATTCATCACCAGGAGCGGGAACGAGCGGTACTTCCTGCTGCGTTCCGCTGCCTCTCTGTTTACACGTGAGGGTACTCAATTAGTACGAGTTGAAAGTAAAACAAAATAATGCAGTGATATTGAGTGTGTGAGACAGCAGCAGGTTGGCACAGCGGAGAGAGAGAGAGAGAGAGTACGTGGGTGGAACAAGATAATTCAAGTCCAACTCTTTTGAAACCAAGTCAAAGCCAAACAAGGCCTAATTACGTCGGCGTCAATTACCAGATACTTAAAAAAAAAAAAAAAACCTCTTTCTTCTTGTCTAATCATGTAGTAATAAATACATCTCAGGTATTATTAGAAAAGGACCCACTTTATTCTTATCAAGGAGTGGAGTCGAGAACATTCATTAAAGCAAAAAAAAGAAAAAAAAAAGAAAAGAAAAATACTCTGATCGTGGCACATTTCAAACGATGTAACTCTCTCATTTAGCCGTCCTGTCCCACTCATTAGAGGCAAAGCAAAGCAAAGATAATGAGACGATGACCTCATCAGAATTGTTCTGATGTTCTAATGAAGGAGCGTGTTGGAGAAAGGAGGTGAAAACTCCCTGATACTCCCTGGTACAAAGTACAAAACACGTGTAAACGCAGTAAAACCACCTCAGTACAGAACGGCGGAGGAAGAGGAGGAGAAAACATCACTCTGATAATTATGTGTCTAAAACACGCATCAAAGATTCAGATTGGTAATTAGGAGACAAGGAGGGTCTGACGGGCAGTGATGATGACAAGGGGGTTTATGGGTAATTCATTGAACAGACTTCGTAAAGACCTGGTCCACGGTCTGAGCTGAAGAAACTCAAATAAAATATGAAGAGACTCGAAAAAAAAAAAATTCTCAAAACAATATTTACCCATAATTCCACCAACTTTGCCAATTAAATAAACTGCTCCTGTTTGTCCATTTAAAAGTGGTATCGCAATATTTTAATGTATCAATATTTTGATCGCGATATTTCAATGTATATATTTCAACGTATCTCAATATTTCAACAAATATATTTCAATATATTGCGATATTTCAATGTATAAATATTTCGATCGTGATATTTCAATGTATATATTTCAATGTATTGCAATATTTCAACATATATATTTCAATGTATCGCGATATTTCAATGTCTATATTTCAATGTATCAATATTTCGATCGCGATATTTCAATGTATATATTTCAATGTATTGCAATATTTCAACATATATATTTCAATGTATCGCAATATTTCAATGTATCAATATCTCAATTTCAATGTATCAATATTTCGATCGCGATATTTCAATGTATATATTTCAATGTATTGCAATATTTCAACATATATATTTCAATGTATCGCAATATTTCAATGTATCAATATCTCGATTGTGATATTTCAATGTCTATATTTCAATGTATCGCGATATTTCAATGTCTATATTTCAATGTATTGCGATATTTCAACATATATATTTCAATGTATCGTGATATTTCAATGTCTATATTTCAATGTATCAATATTTCGATCGCGATATTTCAATGTATATATTTCAATGTACTGCGATATTTCAACATATATATTTCAATGTATTGCGATATTTCAATGTATCAAAATCTCGATATTATAATGTATATATTTCAATGTATCGCGATATTGCAATGTATCAATATTACGATCGCGATATTATAATGTATATATTTCAATGTATCAATATTTTCACCACTAATAGAAGGTAAATTATATATATATATTTGGATCAACAAGGCAGGACCAATAAGCAGACACAGTCCTTGTGGCGACCAAGCCTCACTGCAGTCCTTAGCTCAAATAAAGAACAACACAGTCTAGAGAAGATTCCATTTTTGAGTGAAATGCCACTAAAAAAGAGCCGTAGACCTTGGAGAAAAAGAGCCGGCGTTCACTCTTCTCCAAAGAAATAATCAGAACAACAACTTTGTGTGGGCCTAGAGGACATGATGGAACCACCTGAGCACATAATGGAACAGCCAATTATAAATTAAGGACAGAGTCAAATGCACCGTCGGAGGTGTGCAGCTTTATCGTACATCATACCGAGTCGTCACAATGGGCCAGACCCTTGTTAGACTAAATGGTCTCCAGCTCGGAGCAAATACATCCCCAAGGCCTCGCCTGTGAGTGTCGCCTCTCTACTATCGACACAAACACTGTCAATGCAGGCGGAAAAGGTTGCCTCTCGTTGCCACAATCAACTGGAGACCCCGTCACTGTCATAATGGCAGGCTCAGTGGGAAGGACACCAATTCAGCGGGCCTGAGTGAATGCCACATAATAAAGGCAATGATTTTATTCCTCCCCCAGCAGCCACGTAAGTATCTGCACTCTTCACAACCCCGCTTGCCATCCATCATCCTTGAATGGTGATAAGTGACAACAATTTCCTGCTATTCCCAGACAAGGAGGCAGAGCAAGGTAAGACCCCGACCTGGGATAATTGCCTGGCCGGGGTACTTTAAATCACCATAGAAATTAAAACCCACCCCACATGTTTCCTGTTGGAGGAGATGAATCAACGATGACGACGAGGAGGAGGAGGATTAAAAGGAGATAAAAGTGACAGAAGGTTGAACTGGACTCTGGTCAAGGTTTTAGGAGAAAACTGGTACTGAGTACTGGGTTCTTAACCAGGGACTACAGGTCAGTACAAAAACATTTAGTTATAACTTCATACATATATATATACAGCAGCATGAATCTGCATCTCTGTGAGGTAATGTTTCGTACATTGAAATTGACAAAAAAATTAATGAATTAATATTTAGGGCTGTCGATCAACAAAGTTAATCATGGTCGCAATTTATCCTGACCAAACATGAACAATCAAGATAAATCAATGCTCTGAGCGTATTTTTCATCATTTTTCTGACATCTCTGTCCTTATATGACCTTACGTGACATCATCTGTAGGAAGACCAATCCATCTTCAATCTGGTGTTGGTTGTGTGTTTTCCTACAGCCAAATACACCAGGTTCACCACTTATCACAGTCGTTCTCCTCACTACAGTGTTGTGAGTGAACGACCCAGGGATGAACTGAGAAAATCACAAAATAAACAAACATCTGGTAACAACAACAACCAACCAACCAACCCTGGGGATGTTTTTTTTTTTTTTCTCTTGCAGATGAAATCCAAAAGTCCAGGCCAATCAGTATTTGTTTGCGTTTCCCTTCGGCCAAACGTCTATTGTTTTCGTGGCTTGTTTTTGCCCAGAGTTCAACACCTGCTGATTCTGCGTTCGAGCTAACAACAAACTCAGCCTCTCCTTCAGGTTGTATCACAGCCGATCTCGGCTGCACCGTCGCCTGTGGTCACCAAACAGAAACATCAACAGATCTGGTAAAACACCTAAAAACACAACTGCTCGCTGCGACTTCACTGAGGCGAAACTAAACTCAGCGATTCTCAACCTGCGTCGCGGCACATTAGTGTGACCACCAGGTGTCCCTACGGTAAAGTACACTTAAAAATTAATCTGTGTTGACGTCTGTAAGAGTCCATAACAGGGGTACCCAACCCCCGAGTACACTTAAAAATTAATCTGTGTTGATGTCTGTAAGAGTCCATAACAGTGGTACCCAACCCCCAGTGCGGGGACTGGTGCCGGTCCCTAGGTCATTTGGTACCGGGCCAAAAAAATGTACTTCAATTTTAGTAATTTACTTCATTCAGAAAGAATCCAGTCATATCCCTTTACTTTTTTCATTTCATCATCCGTCAGTTTCAAAACAACAGGTCAAAGCGCTGCACTTCCTGTTGATACTAGATGCATGGAAATTTGTGAGAAAACAATAGTGAAAACAATTCCAGTTGGTACAGAGAGGAACTCAACATATGGTAAACACACAGCTACGGGTCAAAGGTGCTCGTCTCAAAGACGACTCCTCGCTCGTGTGGATAGATCAAATGTACACACGCAAAGATGAAGAAAAAAAAAAAACAAAAAAAACGCAGAGCGCTCTAATTAAGAGACGAGGCAGGCAGCTTGATAAACCAGTGTCATGATATCTGCTGCACGTTTCAGCCCATTTCTTCTCCGTGTTCCACTAATTAACGAGCAAGATCAAGACCGTGTGAAATTACAGCTAACAAACGCTGGTGTTTAACAAAGGAGATTTGACAGGTTCTGGACGGTCTGCTCACAGTGAACGCTGCACGAAATAATAATAATGAGAATAATTTCATCTGTCATGGAAACTTTACATTGTGCAGCGTAGCAGGTAACGTGTAAACAACCGCAGAGGAAAAAAAAGAGGAAATGATGTGACCCGTCAACATCGATGCTCTTGATGTCGGAACGACCGCAAATCAATTTTGTCTCGTCTTGACTTTAATTACACACACAAAAAAAACACACAATATTGTTCCCATTGTCACTACATGACAAAACACCCAGAGTCAAAGCAAAGGGTTTTATATGAGGATATAAAATCCACAGTTTGTTGGTCACATGGTGAACAAAGCCAGAATGTTCCCAGACATAAGACGTAGTTCTAAAATGAAGAACAGCTGCAGTGACATGTTTGTCTTTGTTTCTTACTTTCAGATGAGACAGGAGTAATTACAAAACTGTGTGAATTACAACACTTTTCTTTTATTTTACGTTTCTCTGCTCTCTCTGTTGCTAACTAACTAACACTGAATCTCTTCGGTCTGGATTTTATTTCTTTTCTTTGCTGCAGAACTCAGAGCAAATTTTCTACATTAAAAGAAATTAATTAGATACGAACTGAAAATATAAAAATAGTAGGTCTGACAAAATAAAAGCTTTAAGTGAGGTGAGTTGTACTATCTTAACCTCACTTCACATGTTTGTGAAGGCTTCAACCTCCAGCGCCCCGGCTCGTGTCAGTCTACGTCTAAAAGCTGACTGACACAGTCGGTGGAACTAGATTTTCTCATTGACACAGAAAAAAAAACCCAACTTACTGATCGATACGTAGAACAGGCAGCTGTAGTAAATCCTCCAGCTTGTGGTCGTCGAACTCTGGTCGCGCTTCCTGTAGTTTCTTGAAACGTCTGAAGGCCTTGTTTTTCTTCAGTTGGATCTGAGACGAGACACAAAAAAATACCAAAATACATTTTATCCTCTGTGATATTTTTGTGCACCCATAAAACTCTCATGTTTAGGGTTGGTTGGTTTCTTACCCGCAGCACTTTGGTGGCATCGTAGATGTTGTCAACGTACACGTTGTAGTTTTGCAGCTGTGGACAGAACTGGTGGAAACCTCGTCCGATGTAGCCGTTCTCCAAGTGGACCAAGAGAGATCTGAAGAACACGAGAGTCTGATGTTCATCTGGGTCTAGATATAAATGCTGTTCGATCATCATACCTTCCAGAAGAACCCGTCACCCCTCCCCTGTCACCCCCCCGCCCTACATTAAGTCAACATCTCTGCACCTTAAGGGTCAGGGTTGGGTCGAGGCCTTTCCCAGGTGTGCGTTCGTGTTCTAACCCAGAGAACTGGGCCACATTCTCGTTCTCATTAAACCTAATGAAGCCCATACCTGCAGACAAAACCGACAAGTCTGAGCACAGTTCTGTTTGGGAACGAAATGCTGCTCTGCATTAGAGACGCTTAAACACGTCTTAAAAAAAAAACGCTCTCAGGGAAAGCACACACGTTTGGAGACAGTGCGGGGGTTGAACAAAGTTCAGAGGATTTCGCTTCCCCGTTAATGGGGGAGGTAGGGATGTGGATTAGTGAGACGGCGCGGTGTCATTTGAAGGGCCTCTCCTGGAGGGTGATGTATTTACTGGGACCCAGATGGTGGCTCTGTCTTCAGGGCAACCAGGGCCACTTTGTAGTGAGAACATGGCTGCTGAACTCAGGAACAAAACAACCAGATCAAGGCTGAGGCAAAAGCAATCGTTCAGCCTGTCAGGCACATTACAGTAACACGGACGCAATTGGTTGGGGGTGTTGACACTTGTGAAGGAGCTTGTTATCCAAACTTAGAGAAGGAGGTACCACACACACACACACACACACACACCCAGAGTCTCTCCTACTCTCTAATGATGCTCCCAGAGACTTATGTTCATACATGCTGTAAAAAGGAACACTTTGCCGCTGAAGTTGATTTAAATAGATTTTAATGAAGTTGCGCACCAAGGTAGCCTCTGTTCATAATCAGGAGATGCAGGAGCAGCCTGGAGAGTTCTAACGAGGGTAAAGGGCGGGAAAAACTGCGTTTCCGCTCCCCCCGCCTTTCTGACTGCCAGAGGCTATTATGATAAATATGAAATTAAGGATAACATTTTTATACTTTTTTTTTTCCTCCTCTCCTCCACACCAATTAAATGTCTGGCCATCAGCAGCAGAAGGAAGATAACATTAGCATTCCGCGAGTGTCACGTTAATCCAAATTAATTCCGAGCAGTTGCGACATCTGTGGTGGATACAACCTTGACCAAACAATTCTGGGTGAGACACCTTCATTTGGAGACGGCCTTAACGAAGGAATACTAATTCCTACTGTGCAGTGCTGGCACCAACTGAACATTAATGACTAATTACTGCAATGAAAATATTTGACCCTCCGTCACTGATTGGAAGGAGATAACTGAGTGGCACGTGTCTTTAATTTTGGAATGGAAGTTGATGTTCATTTTTGATGATCTTTTTTTTTTTCCTGTTACATTTACCCTGACATATAAATGATCCAATCAGATCCAAAATTATATATTTAGTTTGTGTTTTTACTTCCTAAAAATAGGATTTATATGTGTATATTCATATACATGCTGTATATACATACATGTAGACATACGTATTTTACTTCCTAAAAATAGGATTTATATATGTATATTCATATACATGCTGTATCTAAATACATGTAGACATTTATATCAAATATAAGTATATATTGTACATATACAAATATATACAAACATAAAGCTTCATTGTTTGTCAGTAAATAAATGAGATGTGAATTGAAATTCTCTGATATAATTTTAAATCCAGTTCAATGAACCCAGTTTTTTTTTACAAAGGCATCGTTCCAGTCCAGGTGACAGAGACTCATAGATGTCCAGGTCCAGTTCTGTTGTGGTCAAGCCTGGTATTACAATATTACCTGGTTTATTTGGGTTGCACCTTGAATGTTTTAGAGGTATTTCTGAAAAAGTATTAACAGATAAACCTATCACTGGAAGATACTTCTCTAAAGGTGCATTGAAATGCTTCAACATCATAGTTCTATCAATTCAATAACGCTCTGATAAAGATGTCTGCACTAACACAACCAACATTTGGTTAACATGTCATTTGGAGAACACAATATTTAAACGTACGGAACAGTAACGAGTCTAAAAGGCAGCCTTTAGCTCACAGTCTGCTCCGTCACCTCAGTCTGAGCCTCCGAGGCTCCACTACTGTCAGCCTGTTCAACACATCATGACTGACTGTGTGTTATAGTACAGAATATCACTGCCACTACTTCATGTGTTCACGGAGGAGATAATAAAGTCACCGACGATCCATCTATAGATGTAATTATCACCACTTACTATCAGTTACTGCTGGCACTGGTGTGTGAAGAAATTCAATGAATATGAAACGTCACAGTGAAAGAAAGTGAGAAGAATACGGGAAAATCTATGATCAATCACTTAACAGTGGTAAATAAGTCCAACACAAACACACTGGGTCTCCGAGGAGCGCTTTTCCAAACGGAGTACTCTGCCATTATGTTTCAAGCATTGATTCAAGGCTCATAATGAAGATGTATGAGATCAGCAGAACCATTTATCTAATACAGGGTACTGTGTAATTCATACTTCAATCTTCATTGTGAGACTCTCAACAAGAAAGCCTGTCAGTCTGCGCGAGATGTGCGACGCCGCGACGCTCGTTATCGGAGCGGAAATAGAATTCCCAATCAAAGGTATGCCAGGCTGTCGTATGGCAGTTTGTCAAGCCGTCTCCACGGGAATCGTCCGTAAAACTGCAGCAGTGATTCTGATCAGTGTCTCAACGATTAAATATGCACTTACTCACTCACATGAATTTAATGTATTTCACCGATTATTACAAAAGTTAATACGTTAATTAATGTGTTATAAAAATAGAGCCAGCTATTGGGTTTTTCTAGTATAGTTGTACCACACATCACTGTAAACATGTCACAGAATCATAATTATCTCTTCTTTTCTTCCTTTCAGAATCTATCAAAAAACCTCATCACCACAGGTCTGGAATCATAATTACCGTTTTTTTTAAAGTCTTCAAATCCTTGATCTTGAATCATAATTACCCACGTGGAGTCATTAAGAAACTGACAAAGTTAATTGTTTAACTAGAGTTAAGATTATTGCGTAATCTCACCTAAAACTGGTCAAGTTTTGATAAAGT